TAAATATAATACTACGTTAAATATATTTAATGATTTTTCTTAGAAGAGTGGTCTGTAAGATGAAATGAATTGTGTTGGAAGTTTCAGAATTTCAATATTAACTATGTTTGAACTGTTAATTATTACATAACCTAGGGATTTTTTTTTTTTATTAAAAATTATAACACGTGTGTATTTTATTTTGAATATTGAATATGTGTCTTTATATTCTTTATATTCTTTATATTCTTGCGGAAATTTGCATTTTAAAATTTTGCATGCAGAAAAATCTACAACGTAATAGTTACAATGGCGCTTAAAGAATTGTTCTCTTCACATCTGTGAAATAAATTGAAATCTCTGATTGAAATCTCTCTAGAAAATACATTCGACTTTTATATATGCTATGTATCTCGCCAAAAACTAATAACATTACTAATAACATATATAATAAACATAACATATATATAATAAAAAACTAATAACATACAGAATCATATACAGTTATCTGCAGAAAAGTATTCCAGAGCATAGTTATATTTAATTTTATATTATAATTTACAATTTTGTTCTTTCCTCAAATAGATATTCTTACTTGTTAATATTAATAGATTAATTTTCTGTATACTGTTAATTTTAATTCCAATTTTTAAAATAATAATTTCTGCTATACCAGAATTACTACAGAAATACTGGAACTACAATTAGGAACTTTGTACAGTTTCTGAAATACATATGTTATATTATATATTATTTCTATATATTATTATATTATATAATATATTATTTCTAAAAATTTGTTACATATAAAATACAATATAAAAATTTTGTACGTGTCCTTAACTAATTAAGAAGAGAATTTAATTGATTTTAACTTTATTATTATTTTCCAAAAGAAAAAGAAACAAAAAATGTTACTTTAATTAGTATTTAAAACTTGTGTAAAAAAGGCTAATTTTATTATTATAATTATTCGTTGTTTATAAATATCTGGTAAAATTTTATTTATTATTGATGTTCTGTTTCAGAATCAAGAACACCTGAAGCCACAGATCGTTCACGCACTTTCCAATGCAGAACTTTACTGTTTGGCGTTGGCAAACATCTATTCGGATCCAAATTATCACAACCAGAATCATTGCGGTATTCTTCAAGCCCTTGCCAGAAAAGGTGTTTACCTCGCGGAGCCAAACAATACTCAACTCACTGAAACGATCCTCATTCAAAATTCACCACTCAAGATGGTAAGATGGGAGAGCAATATTTTTAGAAACTTTTGAGAATATATTTTAAAGATAAAAACACTAAACATATTAATAGAAAAAGTAAATTATGAATAATAATGTAAACGGAAGTGTTATTTAAAAATGTATTACAAAGAAAGTTAAAAAATTGTAAGATAGTATTTGAAAAGAAAAATTATGTTTATTTATATTTATG